AATTTGAAGAGACATATCCATTATACGTTCATTGCAGCGTTATTTATAGTAGCCAAGATATGGAAACAACCTAAGTGCCCATAGATAAAGGTCCATCGCCTTTATTCAATAGACGATTGGATAAAGAAGAGGTGGTACATATGTACAATGGAGTATTAGTTGGCCATAAAAAAGAATGAAATCTTACCATTTGCAACAACATGGATGAACCTAGAGAATATTTGCTGAGTGAAATAAGTCAGACAGAGAAAGACAAATGCCATATGATCTCACTTATATGTAGAAATTAAAAAACGAAATAAAAGAGCAAACAAAACAAAAACAGACTCATAGATACAGAGAACATTTTGATTGTTGCTAGAAGAGGACTGGGTGTAAAAAGGGAAGGGATTAAGAAGTAAAAATTGGTGATTATAAAATAGTCATGGGGATGTAAAGAACAGCATAGGGAATATAGTCAATAACATGGTAATAACTATGTATGGTGTCAGGTAGGTACTAGACTTATTGGGGGTAACTTTGTAAAGTATATAAACATGTAATCACTATGTTGTACATCTGAAACTGTTGCTGGAGTTTCACAGGGATGTATAAGACAGGATTCAACGCCGAGTAGTGGTGACCGGATCCTTCTGTATGTGCAAGAAAGAATTGAAGAGCGAGACTGATGCAGAAAAGCAAAATTGATTTATTAAAAATGAAAGTACACACTTGAGAGGAAAGTGCGGGCAAACTCAGAGAGGGAGTTATACCAAGAAAGTCATGATCAGGGGTTTTTATCTCCTAGGCAGGGAATCCGTGACGTCTTATTGATATGGTTCATTCATCTCCTCCCCTGACAGGGACCCTCTGTTTCTCACTTTTTCTTCCTTATTTGGTTCCTCAAGAACTGTCATGGCATCAGAAGCATGATGGAAATTGTAGTAGCTGCAATGTAAATGAGATTATAATGACATTATAATTAGCTAGAGGTCAGGTCCTGGTTGTACAGATCAGCCCAGGTGGAAGAAACTGGTTCTTGTTTTTCTCCAGCTGCAGGTGCTGGATACATTCACTTTGTTACTGGTATAACCAGAGAGGCATCTCACCTTATCCTGGAGGGGGTTGTCAATTTCCTAGCCTGTCCTGCCTTAAAACTAATATGTTGGGTCGACCGAGTGGCACATTGGTTAGGAGTTGGCTTGGGATGCCAGCTCTGAGCAGCAGGGCCCCGTTTCGGATCCCACATGGGCCAATGATGCTGTGCCCTCTACAGCTAAGATGGTGAACAACAGCTCAACCTGGAGCTGGGCTGCTGTGAGTCGCTGGTGACAGCGTAGGCTGCACCCCTGCTGCAGTGGACTGCCGTGACCTACCGTGAGTGGCCGGCAACCAGCGTGAGTGGCTGGCAGCTGGCGTGAGGTGGCTTGAGCCGCTGTGAGCGGCCGTCCAATGGCCGGCGAGCGACTGCCTCACCTGGGAAGAGCACAATGATAATACCAACATGGGCCAGTGAAGC